TTTTTTTTTTTTTTTTTTTTTTTTTGGTACCGGGGATTGAACTCAGGTCCTTGTGAAAATGTGATTCTTAAAAATTGAAAGTATACTATAAGGAAAGAATAATGATCAGATATGATATGGACAATAACCAAACTAGTGACAAGTAGGTTAAGTAGAGAATATGTCTCAAGCTGTCCAGGAAAAATGGACTGGGATCCAGAAGAAGAGGAATAAGGGCAGGGTTAATAGAAAGCCAGAGTCTGCTGAGTGATAGGCAGCAGGTTTAAAACACGTTTTCATTGAGAGGTAGGCCTGTCTCCTCCCTTTGAATCAAGACCAGCCTTAAATTTGCTTATAGTCAGCTCAGTTCAGCGTAAAGGGACTCTGTGATTTCTGAAGCAGTCTTAAAAGTCGATGGGGTGTCTCCCTTCTTAAACATTCACTTTTGAAGCCCTGCAAATCCACGACAAAAGTTCAGTAAGCCTGAGGTTTCCACGTGAGAGGAAACCCCACACTGAGAGGTCACGAGTAGGTGCTCCAGCCAGAGGTCAGTCTTCAAATCCTCCAAACCGGGCGCATGAGAAAGGCTAATTCAGCTATTAGGCTTATAACAAATCACTCTAAAACCTAGCAGGACAAAAGCACCATCTGTTATGATCACAGATTTACAGGTCAGGACCACAGCTCTGGACTGCAGTGATCTGAAGTCCCTTTCACTCACGTGTGGAGGTGGCATTGGCTGTTGGTTGAGGGCCCCCATTCTTTCTCCAGGCTAATTAAGGCTTCCTGATAATATGGAGCAGGGTTTCATAGAAGAGTTTCCTGGGAGAGAATGTGAGGGGGAGAAAGGTGGAAGTCACATTGTCGTTTCTGAAATGGCTTCAAAAGTTATACAGTGTCCTTCAGCCATTTCTACTCAGTGAGCATGGCCACAAAGTGAAGAAGGCGGACAGATTCTGCCTCTTGATGGGGAGCCATGAGGTTCCAGAAGGGCATGTGGGAGTCTAGCCCTGGGGCTTTCATATGGCCCCAGTTCAGAGACATCATGACAAACGTCTGTAAATGTGTTTTAAGATGCTGAGTCTTACAGCAATGTACTAATCAGCAACAGGAACTAGAACATTGACTTGTGTTCTCTGAAAATTTGCATGTTGGGAGAGAGAAGCTCAATGACCCAGTATGTATTCAGATTTGGTGATCAGCTGGTTATCTCCAAGCTGAGGAGAGGCCTCTCAGAAACCAACCCCCTGCCAGCGCCTGGATTTGCACTTCCTGGCTGCAGCACTTTGAGAAAGTTAATTTCTGATTTTGTTTTTTGATACCAGGGATCAAACGCAGACCTTGCTCTTGCAAGGCAGGCGGTGGAATCACTGAGCTAAGTCCCCGGCCCACTTTCTGATTTTTAAGGCAATCTAACATTTGTCATGGAAGCCCTTGTAAATCTAAACATGCACAAAGAAATGCATGTGTTCTAAAAAAGTATTTTCAATAGAGGACTTTGAAAACAGCCAATTTTTATTCAAATGGAAATTAGTGAATGACAGATCTCTACCATGAAAGGAAGGGTTAACATGTAAAACCATTTTAATGTATTAATTTGTACTAACATGAAAAATTCAATTAATTAAGTAAAAGATACAAGTTACAAAGCATTACTTATAATGGAACATACATGTTTTTAATACTAATATATCTGTATGTGTATTTGTATGTAGATGTACTGAAGAAATTCTGAAGTACAGAATTCTGGTCCTGCAGTGAACTTAAATGAACTGGTCCCTAAGTGAAGTATTGTATGGAGAATGTACATCACAATATTCAGAACAAAGAAGTGGTCAGAGAGGGCTGGGGATCCAGCTCAGCAGTTCTACCACCTGCCTCACAAAAGCAAGGTCCTAAGTTCTATCCCCGGTACCCCCAAAAAATTGGTCAGAGGAAACTCGAACTTCTGATCACTTTGCTTTTATTCATATATCTCTTACATGCAGCACTGTAATACAGAAGATAATATAAAGCTACAGCGCTGCACTGTACAGTACAATCAACAAGGTCAGTCAGTAACAAAAGTTACAGCACTGTATAAATAAAGTGTACCATTTTTTAAAAAGAAAAGACTTAGAGGCTCTAGAAACAAGATGCATAGAACTGTACCAGCAAAAAAAGATGGGTTGTAAGTATGAGTAGTGGGTCATTAGTCTGAATAGTTGTTAAACAGGTAGGTTGTTACACGAGGAATACCCATGTACTCTCAAATAGGCACCTGCAGGTTGTACACAGTCATAAGTGTGCTGGTCTTTTGCTTTAAAGCTATATACTTCTATCTTGTTGAAATTTGCACAGTGGCTATACATTCCTGTACTGATAATGTAAAAAATTAAGTTGATTCCTTAACTCACTGTGTCTTAACCCATTATAATACCAATTTTCTGTTTGTCTATGCTGAACTTGCTCTAGGCCAAAATTGCTGCCCTGTGGTGAATCTGACCCAGGACCTGCTATATCCCTTTGCTGTAGGAGCAGCACTGGGTGCACCGTGAAAGCCTCTGTGAGAGTGAAAACACTGGGCCAGCAGAAAAACCATGGCAGTCTTCCGGGGCTGAGAGCGCGCAGGACGGAAACGTCTGTACTTCTGCTTGCAAAGGTAGGCTATGAGGTTGCCACGGCGGCTAGAATTTTGGATGGCTCCTAAAACAAAGGGAGGAGTTGAATAGTATTTAGAATTTAATTCTTTAAAATTGAAAAATAAAAAATGTACCAAGGACCTCCTGTGTGCCCCTACCTGTGCCACAAGATGCACACTGGAGCCCACGGAGCTGTGCAAAGGCGGAGTTATCAGTGATAACACTGATAACACTGATAACACAGTATCAGTGTAACTTCTCCAGTTTTACAAAAGTGGCCCTGAAGCAAGGGAAGTTCTCTCTGTCGTGGAAACTCTAAGCTTCTTTAATGAAGCACTGTATTCTCTTAGGTCAAGAGGAAAACACAACATAACTACCCCAACCCCACCATCTTCTCTGACATTGATCTCTCTTACTTTATTTTTTTTTTTATCTCTCTTTTTAAAAATGATGGGTATATGTATGCAAAATACAGCAATTACATTCAGCTTGGGGACTGGTTCATAAACAAATCTGGTCTTGATTGTTTTTCTTCCCCCTGCCTCCCCCCACTTCCACATCCCCTCCCGTCTCTGCAGAAGAGGTGGCCTGGGCCTCTCTTGTGTCCACGCATGACTAAGGAAGCAAGGGTGGAGTGGCTCCGAGTCCCCAGCACGCTCTCTGTCACCTGACATTTCCCTGGTCCTTCCTCCTGTCTCCACACTCAACAGCCAGCTCTGTCAGCACAGGGGCCAGGAGAGAAGGGCCAGGAGGGAGACGGTGGAGGGCATGATAGTGGTTCTCACCCCCAGCAGCTGGAGCAAAAGCCCAAGACATAGCAGCTTGCTTCAGGCCAAGGTGGGAAGGAGCCGGAGCAGGGCAGGAGAGCTGGGGGGGAATTAGGGTGAGCAGGGCCAGAGGTGCAGGGTCAGTGTAGTACACAGATTTTCTTATTTTCAGTATTCTTAATCATCTGGTGTCTGAGGCCCATGGACTGGGGAGAGACCACCTCTGCTGGGCCAGCTCATTCTTAGAGATAGCAGCAGACTTACCTGAGTGAGCACCTTTCATTTGCAAACTAAGCAGCCCAGGACCCAGGCTTTTAGACCCTCCTGTCTTGGCTCTAACCCTGCAGGAGGTGACAGATGTTCCTCTGCCCTGTTAGCCCCAGGGACAGTACCGGACAAAGTGGGATGGCCTCTGTATCCAGAGCCTGCTGGGTGAGTCAGAGGAGACAGACCCATGTTCCTCCACTGGTTTTGCACCTTCCCTTCACACAGGAACCACAGGCAAGTCTCTGGCCATGCTTTGCCTGGTTCCTTCCACCTCAGACTTACAGTGAGGCTCCTGCAAGTGGGCTCCGGGCATAGCATCTGTGAAAATGTCCCTAGAGAACTGAAGGTAAAAACTTCTTTATTCCTGAGAGTCATCTCCATGTCTTTACACCTTACCACAGCGGATTAAAACAAATCAAGGGTACAGTTCCGAGTAGCTGGTTGGGACAGGGAATAAATAGCAAGTGGTTTGAGACGCTTGCTGGGGTAGGCGAGGAGGGGCTGTGAGGCGTGGTCTGTAACATATCCACTCTGCCAAAGGGCACCCTGGCTAGCACTCAGAGCGCCAGGATCTCTCCCCCTCCCTTCCTCAAAATCAGCTCTGAACAGTTTCCCATCAGCCACTGAGAAGTTGGCAGGCACACTCTGAGGTTGCCGAACTTTCCAGGGAACTTGAAAAGTTTGGGAAAATGCTTCGGGGATTTAGCATAGGATGTGCAGGCAATCTTGGAATTCTGGAAACCCCATCCAAGTGCGCAGTGAAGAGAGGAGGTTACCTACTGAAACATACAGAGAAAGGATCAGAGACCCCTTCCAGCTGCAGTTTTCCTAGTTACACATCCAAAGTAGGATCTCCCAGTCCTAGGGAAGAGCTCTCTCCTTGTTTTCTTTCAGAACAACCACGCTTAGACTCTCTGGGTTCTGTAGAGCTTTTCCTGCCTGACCCTTAGTTTTGCCATCTCTATGAAGAGACAAAGAGACGGTTAAATGCATACAGCTCTACAACCACTCCCACTCTGCATTGTGGAAATTCCACAGAGAGACAGGCTCTGCCTTGAACAGGATGAAACAACTCCCTTTGGACCAAAGAGCTCTAAGTGGATCACCTGTATCACCTTGCTACATGCTGTGTAACCATTGTGTTTGTGCCCACACAGTCGAATACAAATGCACGTACACAGAGGAAAGAAAAAACTCGACTGATTTACTGATTCTGGTTTCTCCACATTGAATGCCAGTGTTTTAGACACCAGATAACTGGTATCCAGGGCCGTGGGCCATCTAGTGGCTCCCCAGACACAGATCAGACAGTCTCATTACCTGTGGGGCTTACCTGAGCCTTCGATAATGCAGGAAGCAGTCTAGTTCACCATGCAGAAGAGACCTGGAGCGCAGGATGTTCTAACTGACACAGGTGCAAACTGCACCTCAGAAGGAGTTGCTAAATGAAGAAAAGCTCCCTTCGCTCCTGTGTAAGGCACTTTCTTTTCTCCTAGCATCGACTCTTCAGCATCCAGGCAAAGTCACCCTTCATCATCACTTCAGGGGAGTTTTCTTTGTGCCCCAATGGGACAAATGCCTCAGGAGGACAATGAGGTGGTCTCAGAAGAGTGACGGCAATGACAGGCCAGAAAAAGGAATCCATCTGTGCAAGGTTCAGTCACTATCCTGCTCCTTACCTGCAGTGTGATCTCCATCCCTTTCCTCACCGCTCTGTGCCCAACCTGGTGATGGTAAGAACCCATCTCACACACCTGTGAGGTTCAGTGGACTGACACATGTGAAGTGTGTGCAGCCAGGCACCCCATGGGAGCCCAACAGATGTTGATGATTATGGTATTCCTGGACAAAGAGTCTCAAAAAAAGTTGACAAACTATTTCAAGAAGTCTAAATCTTGATTGTAAATAGTAAAACAAAATAAATGTAAAAAGCATAAGAAATCAGACACTAGTAACTCATTTTTAAATAATTCGTGGACCAACGGGAAAATAAAAAATGGAAGTAGCTTGATATTTACACATGACTTGATTGAAAAGTAAAACTGAGATGTAGTTAAAGCAGTATTTGGAAAATATGAGGCCAGGTGAATTAATTAGAGAACAAGAAAAGTTAAAAATAAGTAAGCCGCCATTGGAAAATAGCAGAACAATAGTACAGGAAAGCCAAAGTAGAATTAATAAAGTATTTTGAATCCTGTGGGATTCCAAATAGAGCCACCTTTAATCTGTGAACTGTGGTGAAGTTAAATTTGTATAATATCTGGCTTTTCCTAGTCAAGAATTTTTATTTTCATACTTCAATAGTTTTTTTTATTCACTTCTCTTGGTTGTACATGTCCTGTTATGATTTTCCTAAGTATTTTAAAATCACTTTTGTAGCAATAGGAAAGTGTGTTTTTCCTTAAAATTTCCATGGAATAGTTACCTTATTTGGAATGTATTAAGGCTTTTTGCTAGTTTTGAATCCAGCCAAGTAACACAATTTCTTATTCTTATATGTTAATTTAGTAATTGATAATTATAATTAAATGGTCTGTAAATATTATTTTTCTTTTGTAACACTGCATTTCTTACTCTTTGAGTTAGTGATTTACACTGAATGAACTGGTTACATAGCTTCACTTTATGATATGAGAATATTTGCTTACATTAGCTTACTAAAGAAGTGTGTGGGTGCGTGTGTGAAAGAGAGATCAGGAATGTCTTATGACACCATGCACTCAGACCCCTGTCCTTCTATAAGTAGTAAATAGTGAATTTCATTAACTGATAGGGAACTGTTATTCATGGCAAGGGTAGGAAGGGTGAAAGATAGATATTCACGATGCATTATGCTTGCGATTCAATGCTAAATTCAATTTTATGACTATGCATGTTTTATGTTTGTGAGATTAGCTAAGACTGGTGAGTGTGTATGTGTGAGCCCTGATCAAATTTTAGCATCAGGATATCATTAAATTGTCTGTGATGTTCTTTGCTATGTTCCAGGGAGTTAGTGTAACACAGGAGTTACTGTTTTAAAAAGCAACCTGGGCGGGAGTCTTGTATGGAACAAGATCTTGGCTATAGTTTTCCATTTCTTCAACATTGATAATTGTGTTGTTTTTATTGCTTTGGTTTCACTAAATCATCACCCATGCATTCTAGACTTTCAGATTTTGCCAAACAAGAATGCAACGTTCCTCCATTATTCTTAATCATTTTTATTATTAGTTTCTAATCTCCGTATTGGTCCTTTTTCATTTTTCTAGTTTTTTTAATTTGGAAAATGCCTGGTATAAAGCCTTATCATTTTATTCATTTTTTTTTCTGTAAAGAAACTCATCATTTCATTGTTTTAGCCTTTTGGTTACTTTTTAAAATTTCCATAGTTTTGCTGTTATCATTGCCAAAATACTATTTTTATGTATGTTGATAGTTTTTTCTTTATCTTTTTTAATTCTATGCTAATTCTTTTCATCTTCACCTTTTTTCTCTTACATGAAAGTGAGACTACTTATGACTACTAAGCAAACTTTCTACAAATTTTAAAAGGTAGGTACTCACTGTAATTTATTGGTAGGTATATTTTAATTTTCTCTTTAATGGAAAGCCCATTTAAAATCTTCTTCATACACTTTGTGTAAACGATCCCTTGGTGAACTTTCTAATTTCTTTACCTTGTAACAAAAGAATTAAATCTACATGATGTTTCATTTTTTATGCATCTTAAGATATTCTTAAGACTGTCACTTCTTGAATATTTGTTTTTAAGACTGTGTTCTTCCTTTTTATTGATACAAAGGTTCATAGGAATGTATATAAATATATATGATGCAAATATATGTGTCATGAACCAGTTAATTACCCTGAGTCCAAAATAGTTTGTTCGACCTTGAGAGCTTGCTTGGAGGATCTAGCAGGGGAGCACAGCTACTCCTATACCCTTGTCACAATTAACGGTTCCCCTCTATCGGGGGTGGTCATCCTCTTCAACAGAGGGTGCAGCTTCGGGAGGGACACACGTGGAGCTGTGAGGGAGGAAGGGGACACCTGCCTAGCCAGCCAGATCAGCCAGATCGTCCCTGATGATTGATGGGGTGACACATTTCACAGCCAGATCACCCTCATGTCTGAAAATATTTTATGTTAGAGCACAGCTCACACAGAAAATTGGCACAGTGGCACCCTTAGGACATGAACATCACCACTGGGAGCCTGAGGTCATTGATCCTTGGCCGTGGCTGACCCTGGCCCGCCAGGTCCACCACGGCCACCTGGATCAATGTGACAGCACTGCTGTGACAACTCCACCACTGTGGAAAGTGGGGGAAATGCAGACTGCAGTCCTTTTCCATGGTTCACCTAATCTGCTGACTTCAGAAAACAAACAAACAAGGGGCCGGGGATTTAGCTCAGCAGTTCGGTGGCCTGCCTTGCAAGCGCAAGGACCCAAGTTCAATCCCTGGTACCAAAAAAAAAAAAAAAAAAAAAAAAAAAAAAAAAAAAAAAAAAAAAAAAAAGAAAAAGAAAAAGAAAAAAAAAAGAAAACAAAACAAACAAACAAACAAGGATTTGTCTTTCTTTTAATTTGTCAATTTTTTCTTCATGCATTTTGAAGCAAGATTGTTGAAGGTCCAACAATCCATGATTCACACAGATTCCGTGATTCTTAAAGATTATAACATTTATTAATAGTGATACTCTTTTGCCTTGACTAGAAATCATCACTTCAAATGTCTCTTGCTTAAAGGTAATTTTGCTGTTTGGGCTTTTGAGCCATAATGATGTGCTTGGTAAAGACCAAGGTCAATTTAAATTTTGTCCTTTATATTCCATTCAGTTTCACTTACACCACTAGTATCCTGTACAGACAATTACCCAATTTATAGATGTATTTCTCTCATCTTCTTTGTAACTGTTTCCTTTGACTTATTTATGGGCTCCTATTTTCTATTTGATAATCATTCTCAGTATTTGTTTTTATGTCCGTACCTGTTCTTGTTTTGAGCTTTCTTTATTCTCTTTTCTTTTCTTTTCTTTTTGTAATAATGAGGCTCAATCCCAAGGGTGACCTACTACTGAGGTATATCCCCAGCCCTTTTTTTAAAATTAATTTATTTTAATTTGAGACAAGATCTTGTTAAGTTTCCCAGGCTGATTCTCAAACTTCATATCCTCCTGCTTCAGCCTCCCAAGTAGCTGAGTATTATTACTCTAGTATTTTAATACTTCTATATCCTGTTTAAAATTTTCCAGTAAAACCTCTTCAGCCATTGTATTAAATATCGATCTATAGAGGCAGCCATTATTCATAGCCTTTATTAAACAAGATAAAAATCCTCTGATTTGTTTTGTTTTTTTCCCTTCTCCAACATGATCTTCCTGCCCTATTAAAATCTAGATTGGTGCTAAAATATTTCAAGTATGCAAAAATAATCATGTTAATCATGAAGTTGTTGGGGTTTGTGTAGGTGGTTTTGTTTGTTATGGTTTTGTCCTGATTTTTTTCAACAACACTTCATGAATTCCTATTCTCTTCTGTCTTGAATGTATTTGTTTTGGAATTTAATTAATTAATTAATTAATTTTTTAAGAGAGAGTCTTGCTATGTAGCCCAGGATGGCCTCAAACTCAACAACCATTTTTTTTTTTTACAAAGAAAATAATTCATGGTCAAGTTTGGAGAGAGTTGTTATATTCCTTATATGGATGCACACTAGGTCAAAGCAACAGCTTCCATGTGCAGCTGTGAGGGGCTGGGCTGTCTGGCATGGCTTGCACTGCCAACATGTGGGGCCAGACCTTGGTTTTTGTGCTCACGGCTTTTTGTCTTCTTTGAGCACAGCTCTTTACTCAGGGAGAGGGAAGCAAGTGGTCATTCTTTCCTTTAAAACTCTGACATAAATTGTGTTCTACATGCTCATTAAAATATTGCCCCAGCATGGTGGAACACACCTGTAATCCCAGCACTCAGGAGGCTGAGGCAGGAGGATCATGACGTTTTTGAGGCCAGCCAAGAAAAGAAAACAAAAGAAAAGAAACATGTATTAAGAATCTGACATTCATGGACATCTCTTCCCAATGAGTCAGTTTATCCCAAATTAGCTTTCTCTCTCTCTCTCTCTCTCTCTCTCTCTAAAAAAATATCTCACACACACACACACACACACACACACACACATACTTTATGACAATCTACAAAGCAAAATGAACTTACTTTTTTGCAAACCTGAAAATGAAGATTTATATCCCCCAAAATGCCTCAAGCTGGGCATGGTGGAAATCACCTGCAATCCCAGTGCTCTGGAATGCCAAGCAAAGACTATGGCAAAAACAAAAACAAAAACAAAAAAAAAACTAACAGTAGCCCTCTTAGGTAGATATTATTCCCTTTATTTAAAATGAGGAAACTACGGCCTATAAAGACAAAGTGACTTGCTCAGAGCTATGTAGACAGTTAGAGTGGAGCCAGGATTGAAAGCCAGGCCTGTCTCCTTCCCAGAACTCTTGGGCACAGCTTCATTGCCTCACTACAGGCAGGGACCAGTTCACTGTGGGGGCCACTCCTTTCCAAGCCCTGGATGCCCAGAGCAGGAACTGGGTCCTGCCAGCTCCTTCACACAGGGTCTGTGCTAGTTCTGCCCACACTGGATCCAGGGCTGACTCCTGCTGCCAGGATGACCCTGGAACAGAAGTCTGTTGGGGGGCAGGCTGGCCTGCCAGGGGCCCGAGAGCCCCAATATTGCATCCATTCAGCTGCTGTGCTCTTCCTCTTGAAGCAACAGCCCTTTCACCTCTGGACATTTTTCCAAACTTGGGGCCCTAATCCATCCAATCCTGACTCTTATTCTCTTTTTATCTAGATGATTTCACCCAGGATATTAATTATAAAAATCGCCACACCCCATTTTAAATGACAGTAGAGTTATTTTGAGAATATTGGCTCAGCCTCAAAAAAAAAATTGTCTTTTTAATACAAGTGAATCATTCTAGACCAAATCTCTGGAGGCTACACACATTGACATACAACTCTCTCATTCCTGAGATAGTAAAAGCCAACTTCTTAGATGTGAGAGGTAAGCATCAAAAGAAATTTGGGGACTTGGAGACTCGTGTGTGACTGGAATCATGATTGACTTACAATACGCAGAATTTCTCTCATGTCCATGGTGCACCAGGCAAGAAGGATCCTGAGAAAGGCCACACTGATTATCTCAAGGAGTTCCTGGTCTACCTACCAGAGGAGCCAGACCAACAAGAGCTACTGACGCAGGCCAGACTGCCCAACTACACCGAGATAACATCCATTCTTCCACCTAGGGGCAGCTGGAAGTTGGGGGAGTAAACCAAGGAGACTCCCAGGAGAAATGAATGTAGAATCTGAATTTTAATAGACAAGTTAGAAGGGACCAGACCAAGAGAGGAGAGAAATTCCAAAGAGAGAACTGAACTTGTGTTTTAGAACTACAAAAAGCTGTCATTATTGACCTCATTGCCTTTCTTCCAGTCTGATTTATAAGCAATGCTTGCCTGATGCAGCCCTTGGGATGGCTGAATGCGCCTTCTTTATTGCATAGCTGTTAAGGTCTTCTTGTCTAGGAAGAGGGCCATGAATGGGGGTGAGAGAGAGGAGTACAAGGACCAACTTCTCATGATGAATGCAATCACTCTGTTCCAAACATGTCCCGATAAAAATAAAAATTTAACAAGTCTCCTTGTTTATGTGTTGTCTCCTTAAGAGTTTGTGTATTGTCCTTTTTTCTGCATCCTAAATGGAATCTACTCAGAGACTGACCTCCTCCCTTTATCCCCAATCTACTCCCTTCCATACTCTTTTGTCACTCAGACTCAAAGCCACATCTTCATTACCTCCTTTCCCCTCTCCTTCTTCTTGCTTTGTCCTCTCCAAGGCACCAATTTTTAGAGTACTTTAGTTGTACCTCTGTGAAGTTCCCTTTCTATCCTTAAATTTACTAAAATTGTCTCTCCTGTCCCAGCCCTGGGCACAAGCCTAAACCTGTCAGAAGGGCCTCACTTGTCATTGCAGGCTCTTCCCTGGCTCCAGGTCTCCATGCTTGTCCTCCAACTATCCCCGGACAGGCCCGATGATCTCCTCTCCCGTCCTTACACTGCTGGTGGCGCTCGAGCCCCTTCAGTGCAACAGGGAGATCTACATCCTAGTGAGATGGGAGTCCTGGTTAGTGATGTTCCAGGCACAGAAAATGGGAAAGGTGATGTTCCGAACTTTGCTAATGTGCTTGTTCTTTGGCTTCACTATATCCCAGGGATTGTGTTGTGTGTGATGTGTGTGTGTGTATGTGTGTGTGTGTGTGTGTGTGTGTGTGTGTGTG